AGATAGTTCATATGGGCGAAAGCCTCGAAGCTCGGCTTCACCCCGTGCAGTTCGCACCCGGCCACATAGCCGAGTACGTTGACCCAGGAGTTTGGGGCTAACTGCCATAACCCCAACTCATACCCATCCAAGATCCGCTGAACAGCCGGATGTAATGGGAAGCGAAGCCCTGCCTTGATGGCCGCCTCGTAGCAGCCAAAGCAGGCGCTATCATAACTGGAACCAGCCGGCCAGACGACTGTGTCTTCTGGATCCGGCACAAACACTAGAAAGTCGGGGCCCATGGTGTGGTTTGCAATAAAGCTCTCCACTTTCTCTTGCATGGCTGTGATCCGGCCCCGAGGTACCGTGCAGTAATAGGGGGTATTTAGCTCTCGGTGAGAGGCGGATGGCTCCGCCCAATTGTCCCCCTTCTCAACTGCGTGAGAAAGTCTCGCCTCTTGCAGGCGGCTGTTTTTCTCTTCTGTGTCCAAAGAAGCATGGCCAGAAGAGCTTGACTCGGAATCGTCCTCTGACGAGTCCGAAGAGGACGACTCCTCCTCTCTCCCGGAGGGGCCCGCCTCCTCTCTTTGAAGAGGAACAGAATTGTTAACTGTTAAATGGGAAGGGGTCACTATGACTCCTCCCTCAGAATTGTCGGCTTTCAGGCCGCCTTGTTTCACTTCTACATCTGGCGCCTGGTCAGATGTTTCACTAAGCGGCACCCTGTGGGAGGAGCCGTCTGAATTTGAGATCCTAGCAGTCTTTTTCGTTCTGGCCATCCTGCTCTGCATAGACACAGATACAGTCGAACTTTGTATAAAGGGAAAAGATGGGTCCGGAAAAGGGCAGGCGGCACTCCTAGTCCTAGATTCAGCCGTCCCCGGTGACCGGCTGATCACTAACCTAGGTCGTGTCGTGTGCTTCCGTGGTGCCATTTCAAAAAATAAAAAGAAAATTAAGAGTAAGAGAACTGACAGTTACCTGAACGAGTGACGGTTGATGAAGTTCTGAAAATCCTGTGCAGTCGGCTTGTCAGAACAGGCGGTAGGCAGAAAAGGTCCGAAATGTCAGAGCAAGTTCAGGGGTCCGAATGTTCTCAAAAAGTTCTCAAAGTCTGAAAATGACTCAAGACAATCCTCCCTTATATAGGCGAAGTGAGAAGGCGAAGGGTCACTTTCAGAATTCAAAATTTGGGCGGGAAAATCTCTCGTCCTTTCGCCGACTGACACCTGTAGAAGGTCGCCGCCTGTTACAGTGCGACACCTGTCACAGGTAACACGTGACCAATCACGTGCCACCTGTGAGGGGCAAATGATTAGGGGATTTTGCTCCCACCAATCGGAATGCGCCACGTGGGCCAATCAGGTCCTGCCAAGTGTCCCCCAGTTGGAACTGTCAGGGCTTGCCACGTGGCACGCGCTTATTCGTCCACCTTGGACCTATTATGTCATGACATGTGGCATACTCCATGCCTAATGGAGAAACCGGCCACCCAGGCCCAACTTCCGAGGGAAGCCCAATCGGCCCTAGGTTAACCTAAACCTAGGATGGGCACGTTTCCCAAGGTTATAAATACCTCCCTTAATCCTCATTAAGGGGGATTACGAAAAAAACACATTAATTACACACAGTAATAACCGGCTGATCTCGCTAACAAAGCAGATTACCTACATTAAACACTCTCACCTAGAGAGACCCAATCACTTTAATTTCCGCATTAATTACTCCTTAATCAAGTACTAACTTGACCGTTGGAGGCGGAGCTCCCACCACCAGGAGTCTCCGTTATTTTGCAGGTACAGGCGTCCGGTTCCAGTCTCGGAATTGTAACTCTCCCGCAGGACATCAGAAAACCCCGAAACAATTCATATACGTAGTAAAAACTATCCAAATAAGAAAATAGAGCAAGTATTTAAAAACGGAGGGAGTAGAATAAGGCCTATTCTGTTCAGTTTAATTTCAGTTCAGTTCAGCACCTAATTTGCTTCTCCCATAAACAATTTATTTCAACTCTATTCAGTTCAATTCAGCTCCAATCAGTTCAATTCAATTGTTTTCATTGAATCGAAATAAGCCCTAAATCAATATTAGCCCTTTAAATTCATAACTCGCCTAAGCACTAGCCAACTTCAAAGCTGTTGTAAAGGATCTTTAAGCCGCTTTTTATTAGAGGAAAGAGGAAGGGTGAGACTTAGGATGGTACCAGAGAATAATAACTAATCTTTTAATCATTTGTTAGTTGAGTAGCTTTTTTGTTCTGTCGTTTTTCTTTCTAGTTTGTGGCTTGTAGTTTCTTTGTTTTCGGGCTTGCCCCTCGTGTTCACCAAAAAAACAATTGTTACTAAAAAAATTGTAAATTGGTTACAAGCTTACAACCTGAGAAAATACAAGAGTATTACTAGTATATAATAACAAACAAATACAGAATCACAAAACTTAGAAATCCATGCCTTCCAGGGCATATGAACATAAATCATTGAAAGAAACAACAAATTAACATATATTATGTCTCCCACGGCTAAATTTCAAGGATGCGAGATTTTACATAGAGATGGTGAAACAGGAATATGTGCATAAGTAATCACAAATGTCGAACTAAATTATCAAACCCCACTATCAAACCACTGAAGAGGAGCAGAATTCCAGCGTGAGCAATAGATGCAACTTTAACCACAACAGGCCCCGCCTTGAGAAGTCGATGCATCTCTACCAGCGGCATTTCCTTGTATACCTCCATATCCAATTTTAATGCCATAAGACTACATAGACAAGAAAATCTTAGTAGCAAATTCTACCTACAATTAATGGTAAGAGCATACAAACCAAAATACATAAAAAAAAGTACTCTACACAAGATCCTATTGATATACTTGATACGAATTCAAAATCACAGTTATACCAAGTCACCAATGATTATTTTATTCAGCTTCCACAGTAAAACTTGGCATGATGCAAGTATGTATCATGTACAGAGACCCAAAAATTCATCACTAACCGATAAGTAACCCCTGACTGAGTAATCCATGACTAACCGATCAGTGACCGAGTAACCCCTAACCAAGTAACCCCTGACTGAATGAGTAACCCGTGACCAATTTTTTGTTTTTTTTTTTAAAATGTGGCTTAACTAATTTTGTAGCACATAACATATGAAAGTTTATGATTACCTTTAAATGTGTACTTTAGGTTTAATCAAACATTAAAACACTTACTCGCTATCTCAGGCCACAATGTTTTAGAAAAATATATCTAATAAAATTTTCACGGTTTTAAGAAAAATAAATTGCACTGTTTTAAAAATTCTTACTTCCTCCGTTTTCTTTTAGATGCAACACACACTTTTCACGGTAATTAAGAAATATGGGGTTCACATGATATAATACACTTTAAAATGGGATGAGTGGTTGTTAGGAGTGTAATTTAGTGGGTCATGTGCTTTAAATAAGGGAAATAGTATAGTTTTTCCCTAAAGTAACTTTCTTTTTATAGTGTGTTGCAATTATTATGACATTTCCTTTTTAGAAGTGTAATGTATACTTCCTCCGTTTTTAATACTTAACACCTTTCTAAAATGGAAATGTAACAATATTTGCAACACACTATAAATGAAAAGTTATTTTGGGGAAAAAATATATTATTTCCCTTATTTAAAGCACATGACCCACTAAATTACACTCCTAACAACTACTTATCCTATTTTAAAGTGTATTATATCATGTAAACCCCACCTTTCTTAAATACCGTGAAAAAAGGTGTGTTGCATCTATTAAAAAACAGAGGAAGTATATTTTAAAAATACATCATCAATAATGATGAATTGCAAACCCACGACCCATTGTTAAAAAAATACATGCTCGTAGTGCAATTAAGAATTTTCACGGCTTAAGATCATGAAACTTAACACCAAATATTGCTATTCAAAAAAAAAAAAAAAAAAAAATCTTAAGATCAAGATAATATTTAATACATCATCAATAATGATGAAGTGCAAAACCACGACCCATTGTTAAAAAATACATGCTCGTAGTGTAATTAAGAATTTTCTCGGCTTAAGATCATGAATCTTAACATCAAATATAAAAATATTTAGATTTATAGTATTATAAGGAAGTATAATCAGAGATTATATTGTGATTTTACATATTATCATAAGAAGGAAGTAGGTATATTATGGTAATAGGTAAATGAGTATAAAATATTTATATTATTTTATGACATATAACCTTTGATTTAGTTGCTATATTTAGGAGTGAAACAGGAAATTTTTTTACAATAGCTCGACATGTGTCAAAGTATAGTTAGAGTGGAGCTTAGAATGCCCTCTATTTCAGTATATATATAGCTGCCTAAAATCATATTCGTACAAAACATTGTGAGTTGTGTTTGTAGAGTACTTTTTTTTAAGGGTTTGTAGAGTACTTAAGATGCATTAAGTTTGTTTATTGTATAAGATCATTAAGCTTTTTCAATATTAGCCTATTGTATTCAAAACTCTCTCAAGCCCTCTGTCAAACCAAGCAGGCACGTTAGAGATTTGAATTAGTTACACCTTTTACCCCAAACCTCCTATTCAAACACCGCAAAATCAATTGGTAGCAACAAATGTAACTATGGCATCTCGTATTCTCGTCAGCTAAGAAATTAGGTCCACTTTGAAGCTGTCATAAAGGATCTTCAAACCGCTCTATTAAGACTCAGGATGGTTCCATAGAATAATACAAGTAACTAAGGACTTGTTTGGCATCAGTTTTGGTTTTCAGTTTCCTGGTTTTTTGAAAACCAAAAACAGGAAACAAGAAAAAGGTGTTTCCACTTTTCTGTTGTCAGTTTTCAAAAGTATCATAATTTTAATAAGTTTATATAATTTTTTATTCATTATGGGACTCATATCATACACTTTTAGAAAACAAAAAACCAAAAAACAGAAAAGCACAGCAATGCCAAACGAACCCTATCTGTCGGTTTTCTTTCTAGTTTGTGGCTTGTAGTTTCTTCGTCTTTGGGGCTTGCCCCTCATGTTCATCAAAAAACAATTGTCACTTAAAATTTGTAAAGTGGATACAACGAATAGTGGGAGTATTATATAATATCAAACAAATACAGAATCACAAAGCTTAGCAATCCATGCCTTGCACGGGCAAATGAACATAAATCATTGAAAGAAATAACAAATTATAATACTACGTATATTATGTCTCCCACTGCTAAATTTCAAGGAAGCGAGATTTTACATAGAGATGGTGAAACAGGAATATGTGCATAAGTAATCACAAATGTCGAACTAAAGTAACAAACAAACCCCACTATCAAACCACTGAAGAAGAGCAGAATTCCAGCGCCAACATTAGATGGAACTTTACCCACAGCACGCCCCGCTTTGAGAAGTTGATGCATCTCTACCAGCAGCATTTCCTTGTATACCTCCATATCCAACTTTGATGCCATAAGACTGCCCTCAGACAAAAAAAAAAAAAAAAAAAACAAAAAAAAACTTAGTGGCAAACTCTCGTACAATTAATGGTAACTTGGTAAGAGCATACAAACCAAAAGCCAAGGATTTAAACAAATACAAAGTAGTACTCTACACAGGATCCTAAATGATATTATACTTGATACGAATCCAAAATCACATTAAATGACACCAATGATTATTTTATTCAGCTTCCACATTGGATCTTGGCATGATGCAAGTACGTATAATATACAGAGACCCCAAAATAAAGATATAAACAATACGAGTAATATATAACAGTGTACAAGTAAAAAAGTTTCCAAGTGACATTCAGCATACAGCAGAGTCCAAATGCACTTGGAAACCCTCCCAAAAACCTTACCCCTCTTCCTGAAGAGCAAGGGTGTCATGTGTATGTTGGGAGTTTTGGTGACAATGTACAAGGAAACTAACATAAGATGCTAAGTATGTGTACCAGATACTGTTCGATAAAATCACTTGCCCAACAATTGGACTACCAAACATTCAACTTGTGGGACAAAAGGAATGAGGATATTTAGAAGAGAAATCAGATATAAGACATTTACAATAAAAACTAATAGAAACTAGAAACACAACTAACAATTAGGGAGAGAGGCATAGTAAGCAACTTTTATCTAAAAACATGTCAAGAATCCAACTTTATATAAACATATCAATTCTGTTACGATGCAAAGTTGCCACAGCAGGGACGTTAAGTCTTAACATTCAAAATTGGATTTAAACAAGAATAAAGAAAGATGCATATAATATCTCAGGAAATCAATTTAGTTACATGCCAAATAAATTTGCAATGTAAGCAATACCGATACTTTGAAAGCTACACCTTATTTGAAAAGCCCAAGAGTCCAAAGGGTTTCGAGTAGGGTTAAACAAAGACCATTGTATTAGGATTTTGGAATGTCAATTTAAGTTCCTAAATGTGCCTGAAACAAGGCATTTAAGATGACTAAATTCATTATGTCAAAGGAATAGATGAAATGAGGAAGTGACGAAAACATATTGCACCATTTTTATAAGTATTATATTATATTTTGGATAAGAAAAAGTACACCATAATCAACCAAGAAAGGTACATATCACGAGGAAAGAATAACGAAAGAAAAATTATTTTATCCAATTCCTTTATACCACTCCATTAATTCTTAAAAGCCCCAGCAGCCTTTGCCCACGATAACACCAACAAATTTACTTTGTCCCAGAGAAAATCACACAAGACAGCAGCTCCATCAAAAATTAAGCCATTCTGTTCCAATCATATACTCCACACTTTTACAATGCATTAACACCAAATAAATATCACACCACTTTATGGATGACCTCATGACCATTATTAATTATTATTGATAAGAAGCCAAAGATAATATAAAAATAAATAAATAAATAAAAAAAGAAAAAATGTGGAGGACCCAAAAAAAACAAGAAGTGACATGACATATTCACCAAAGCCCAAATTCTAGGATTCATGCATATGGCCCAAAGCAAATTTCCACCCTCCCCCAAAACCCCACCTCCCCTTCCCCTCATGAGGCTTATAAGTGTGCTTGCCCCACTTCACATCATCTTTTGTGTGCCTGTGTTTTTCCTATATGACTTCCTGGTGAAAATATCTTAGTTTGGTAACATAACTTTCCTTTTTTATACCCCACCTGCCTTTTAGACATGATAAATTAAACAGATATCGTCAGTAATTTTTTCACATGTTTGTTACTTGTAACTTGTATATGTATTTGATCTTCATTTCAAGATCTTTATATTGCTAGCTTGAACCTCCCTACTGATCCTGATACAGTTGCAATCATAGGGACCACACTAGGCCCAACTATGATCCATCATAGACGGTGTGCAGAGGCAGAAGAGCAAAGAAAAGTATGCGGTATATGCTTAATGTATTATAAATTTTTGGAGTTTGGAATTATTGTGATAGAAAACTATTCTAGGGTAGAAAGATTGATCTTGGATTTGAGGATTAGTAACTCCTATTTTACTCATTTTTCTTAATTTTTTTTTTTGTTAAAAATAAGTTTATCAGCCAGCCAATATTATGAGCATTTATGACAGTGACATGTATTTGAAAGGTGACAAAACACTATATGCTAAAATAGATGTATAAGATCACTTAAATTTCACACATTCAAAATGGAAAATCTAAAAGACCATATGATTGGGGGGGGGGGGGGGGGAGAGGCATCAGCTAAAGTGGTCAGTGTCTAAGCATAAAATCAACGATAACCTACCTCATTAGATACATCAAACACTCCATCCTGAATCTTCTTGTAGATTGTAGCAGCAGTTTTTATGAATGCCTACACATAACCCCCAAAAAAAAAAAAAAAAAATCAGTTATAAAGAATTGGGCATTTGTTAAGTGAACTTATCATAATCATTACAACATTCGAGAAAGGCCAGTACCTCCTCGACATTTTGAGCAGTTTTTGCTGAACACTCCATGAATATCAATCCATGTTCCTTAGCAAACTGTTCACCTTCCTCGGTACTTACTGCCCTCCTATGAGCAAGATCACATTTGTTACCAATTAGCATGATCGTCATATTTGCATTAGCATGTTGCCTTGCATCCTCCAGCCAACTTGCAAGGTGATTAAAAGTCTCCCTCCTGCACAAACAATGGCAGATGGTATAACAACCCACTGGAAACGAAGCCTGTACCCCCAACAAAAATTTCATGCATGGAGCTGATATCTCTTAACTCTACAGAAAACTCAAGCAACTACCCAAAAGCATTCACTCTCCAGCACTGAATATAACTTTTTTGTGTCAGTATTTGGAGTACATGTTCATACTATGAGTTCCTTTTAAACTTTTCTGAAATTGTTATTCAAAAACTAGAGATTCTAATCGAGAGCTTAAATGACATTTTAATGGGGGCAAGGGGTTGGGTCCATAATAAGATGATTTGTAGACTGTAATGAAGTCAACCATAATTGCTAATGGTAGAAAGACATGCTGTGAAAACCAGAACACTGCATTAGGAGAATCTTGGATTCGCCGTTACCTGGTGATGTCATACACCAGAAGTGCGCCTGCAGCTCCTCGATAATAGGATCTTGTAATAGACCTAAATGATTCTTGACCAGCCTAAAGCAGAAAACAGCCAATGTCAGAACTTATGCAAATAGAATTATCCAACTATTTGAAGAGATTGATACAAACCGTATCCCATATTTGTAACTTAATTGGCTTGTTATCAATTGTAATCATTCTGGCCCCGAATTCAACACCGATGGTCAAGTCATGCACAGGCTGAAACCTCTTGTCTGTAAATTGCAAAAGAAGACATGACTTCCCCACTCCTGTAGAACAAAAGATAATAGTATTAATTTCGACTTAGCCTCTATCACAAGTAAATAAAAAGTAAAACATACAAGTATAGTCTGTAGTCATTGTACAATGGCATACATGAATCCATGTCTAGTAAACACAAAAATTCATGACATCTTTAAGAGCACAAGTAAGAACAGCACAATATCCTCCAAGGCTTCATTCATTAATAAAAACGTTCCATTCACTAGTCTAATGACTCTAATCTCCCTTCTTTTCAGAAGCCATCTAGCCAAAATCCATAATAAATTACAACCAAAAGTCTCTCAACTGAGATTCATTAGACAACGGAAATTGGCTATTCTCATACTCAGAACTCAAGTTATTTTTAGGCTATAGATTACCCAAATACATTATGATATGACGAAGAATAAGGAATTCAGTTAAATTTATTTGGTTAGTAGGATCCTTAAAGCTACGCCGTAACCTCATGTTGTGTAGCAAACAAAACAAAACACATAAGAAGAAAGGGGCATTAAAACATTCAAAAGCTAATTTCTTCCTAAAAATTTATTAATGGGTAGAACAGGTTTTTGATGTTCAAAGGCGTGCACTAATGTCTGCATCACTTATCATAAAAGCAACTTTGCCATTCTCCCACCTTTTTCACCCTTATATTTCTAAATGGGTGTTCAAAGGAACAAAAAAAACCAACAAGGGAGCAAGGTGTCCTCAAAATCCAAGGTACAACCAAAAAAGGCAACAAGCTGTCCTCAAAATCCAAGGTACAACCAAAAACGGCAACAAGGTGTCCTCAAAATCCAAGGTACAACCGAACAAGGCATGAGATGGAGACACATGCATTATCAAATTTAGGCGAAAAGCTTTGGAGAAAAATTCATATCTTATTAAAAATTTGGATCTTCTCGTGTTTTGAGGAATTACAAATTGGTAGCCAACAACAAAACTAGACTAATAAAAAAGGAACTAAGGAAGCCACTAACACTTTTATTACCACACACACTTCTCTTTTAACTATGTAACTAGGATAGTTAGGCTAGAAAGTTACAAGCCCCAATAAATTTGTCAATTAAAAATATCATGACAACCTTCATAGCAAAACGCCTCTCGTATAAATAAAAAGTATCTATCTATAATTTATATGGTTATAAAAGAATGACACCTGAGGTGTGGACTGAAAGGATGTTTAGCAAGTTAGTCAGCTCCCCTACTCCTGATCATACAGATCATCTGCGATAAATATTCCAATGATGAAGTAGCACTAAATCCCACCAAGAAAGAAAACTAAAAGCCTAATGAATGGTGGACAATCTATATAAGGGTGGAAAAGAATACTAGAACCTTCCTAAAATTTCCTAAAAACTTCCTAAAATACCTTGCCCAAAATTTCCTAAAAACTTGGAACAATATTTAAGATATGAAAGAAACTTCTATGGGCTAGTGAAATTAACACAAGTCCTTTATTTTATCCCATTCATTCCTCTTGTAGAACCATCATCCTATGCCCTAGCCCCATATTTTTGTAGAAAACACCAAAACCAAGCTTCTTCAGGCTTATAAACACCCACCCAAGTCTCAACTTTAAAAAAAGTATTTCATAACCAAATAAACTAGGAAGCACATAAACTTATGGGACCTGAGATACCCTTGTTTTCAAAACCTTATAGATCTTGTGTTCACGAAGAACATAATTGGTTGGGACTTGAGGTTTTCCAAACAATTTCCCGAACCGGGCAGTTTTTATGCTACATAAAAAATAACCCTCTACAGCATATTAACTACCCCCATAAGAAACTTAAAAGGGATAACATAGAACATGAAATACTACTATTAAATAATAAATTAAAAAGGGTCATATGTCCCCTCAAAAAGTCACAAGTTCTTCGTCCAACTAACTCCTATAAACCTTCTTAATGACCGATTCCCAGGACTACTACTAAGGGATTATCCCTAAAAGAGGATTAAAGTAATTGAGATTTTTCAAGAGATACCATAGCAACCTCCATAAGGGAGCAAATTTATCTTTGACATGGGCTGCTTACTACCGGTGAAATAAAACTTGGACAAATAGATCCTTAAGATATAAGAGCAACTTAAAGGACTGAGAAACATAAAGGACATATTAACTTCGCAATACTTATAAGAGCATACCCAGACTCAAAACATGACTTGAACAAGAAAGAAGAAGAAAGGACCACAAGAAGCCTCAACCACCTCTTAGTCAAGCACCGGGAACAGCAATAAGCACTTGTTCAGCTCTAACCAAAACCGAAAAACCTAAAATTAATCTCATCCATCACTTTTTTCAAAAATTTCAAATGAACCTATACAAAAGTATTCTCAAAAACTAGTTTACATATACCAAAGCACCCACTCCTTTAAAAATCAATAATAACCTTACTAAAAATTGAGCACGTAGAATTTAAATGCCCCCTTAAGCCTCTACAAATGTAATATGGTAAGAAAATATGACTATAGACAAATCTTATAAACAACGGTTGTGGGAAACTCATAGGCCTAAAATCCCCAACCATAAGTGATTCATCATTCCTCGGGGCTAGATAATAAAAGTTAACCTAAGCTCTTGAAATAGTTAGAAGAGAAAACCAATAATCACTTCCACCAAACTTGGAATAAAATCACTATTTACAAATATCCAAACTAACATTCAAATGTTACTAAACATCATTCAATGAACAACTTTTATATCTTTAGTTTTAGTATCTCATCATAAAATTAAATGTCATCTTAAACGAATTAAATAAATAAGATATTTGTACTCTAATAAAAATCTATTACAAATCATTTATGTTCTGCTTGACTAGGGTAGGGTGTTTACCAAATGAGGGACATTTATAAGGGATCGAAATGGTATGCTTTCAAAAAATTATCTACTGGGATTACAAATTAAGATTTCTTCTTCATTCTTTAATCAAGAAGAGCATAGACAAGGACCAAACGGAATGTTTTTGTTCCATGGGTTCCTTAGTAAAAAGGATCTAATCACACATACCTCTATGGAAGAATTGACAAATTAATGATTGAAGCCATCTAATCATAATGTCATCAATGTCATCATGAAGCAGCATTGCATCCATTCAAACAAAAGATCGAGGGGAAAGAGTATCAACTGTCCATAGGCTAATTTCGTATTCCAGACCAAACTACCCAGTATCCATCCTGTTCCAATGCACCAAACTCCCCCAAACTCCACCACACTCCTTCCCAATAAAACAGTAAAATAATTACTAAACCTATGAAAGTAACTACATTTGATCCTTTCCCTTTAACACAAATAACATCAGATTCCATACACTTCCACACCTCATTCTCACAACCACTAAGATGATCAAAAAAGAACCTCGACTGGTTACTGTCAGAGTGTCAGTCTAGTACGAATGCCCACATAAAGCGTAATTCTCTCCTAATATGAGTATCTTTAGGACAGTTCTCACCTAAAGCCAAATCAATGCATCATTTGATTAATCCAGAAAACCATTAACGCAGCAGTTTTAGTTACATTTTCTCAAAAATTCCGAACTAGGACCGTCCGACCGTGCGAATTCTCAGCATAAACCTCTTAACCAACCTCTCACTGAATAAACGGTCATCAAAATAACCCAAGATCTACCAGAACTAATGTTTAAACCCAAAAAATTATCATCAAATAACCAAATCATGCAGTGATAAACTACTAACAACCTAAACCTGCGCTTAATTTCAATTAATCTTAATTCCATGCAAATAACACAGCAATAACCCTAAAAAATTTCAATTATAAAATTAAATCATCAACAAAAATTTAGAGAAATTCCTCCAACAATCAACATGATAGGACTTAATCACACAGATAAAATCAATTAAAAGCGAATTAATAATCATGAAAACAAAATTTGCAAAATCATCAAACAGATGAAGAATCAATTACTTACCAGTATCTCCGATGATGATGTATTTGAAAAGGTAAGCGTAGGACATTTTCGCCGATTATACAAGCCCTAATCGTAAAAACGATGCTTAATCAATCGATTGATTGAAGAATTGGGAGAAAAATCGAAAAATATAGGTTGAATTGAAAGATAGTGAGGATTTTAGGGGGAAATAAGGAGGAGAGATAATAATAAGAAGTCCAAAAAAAGATGAGAGTTTTCTTCGTTTCTCCTCTTTGTTAAGAAAAGAGGACACCTTGTAAATGCTGGCAGTTTCAGGAGTTTTATACGGAGTTAATCAATTGATTTCGTATCGTTTGAATTTTTAATTAATTCGATATTCTAAATTTCTATACTGTTACGGGCAATTCACACAACTACTTCATCGTGTACTAAAGGCCTAATGGGTGATTATGCCGACATCCGGCGTGTACACGTTGGCACGGAAATCAATGTTTATCTGAATTAATAATTTGGGTTTGGGTAGAAAACGGGTCGGTTTGAAAAAAGTTTGATATGGTGGTAGGTCAAACTATTATTTTGTACAGTTTTAAATTAAGTCTGTAATAATCAAGGCAGGTCAAAGCTTAATTCTCATTTATGACTTCCGCACAATGGGGTTGCTTGGCAATCGGCAATCAGCTGTTGGCCGTTGGCTTGTTTGCTAGGCTTGTTTGACTAACTGGAAGTATTAGCTTTATGGGTTAGCTTTTTAAGCTATCGTTTAAGCCGGCTGCTTACAAAAGTGTTTGGTAAATTATTCATAGTTGTTAGTTGTTTATTAGTGACAAAGTGGGCCAATAAGCCAAAAGTCAATAGAAAAAGCTACTCTTATTAGCTTTTGGCGGAAAAGCTAGCTTAAAAGCCAACAAAAAAGCTAACTATCAAACATATTGTATGGCTATTTGACCAAACTAAAATCCCAAAGTCAATTGTCAAACACCCCCAATATATAAATACAAGTAACCGTATTGTGATAGGATTAGGAAACTACTCCCTCCATTTTTAAATACTTGCTCCATTTCTCCATGCGCGGAGTTTTAGGGGAATTTGGAGAAAGTAATAAAATATAGAGGTAGTAGGGTTGGTGGAAGAATAAAAAATTGTAAAAACCCAAAAGTAGTGGAGAGAATTGAAGGAGAGAGAATATGAAATTAATATTGTTGGGTCCACTTGATGAGAGAAATTACTTAAATATTGTAAAAGCTTTCCAAATAAAGAAATGGAACAAGTATTTAAAAACGGCCGGAAAAGAAAAGTGAAGCAAGTATTTAAAAATGGAGGGAGTAGAAAATAAGAAAAAGAACTCAAAAAGATAATAACTAGCCCCAAAATAATATTTCCTAAAATCTATCTCAATAGTATGACTGTATGAGTTGAGATGAGCCAGGTTGGAAATGGGTTAAAGCGGGTTTGGGATTCATATCAACTCATGTTGTAATTAGAGGGAGACATATAGATCTAATCCTATTAAATATATATGTAGGTAAAAATAAAATAAGTCTAGGTGGGTTAAATTGAGTTTGATTTTCATATCGATTAATTATAATAATCAGGTAGGGCACAAATTCTTAGCTACACAAGTTTGTGTAGCTAAGCTAGCTGCACCACTGCACTTATATATGAACATATAGTGATTCAAAAATGAACATAAGTTTTGTTTTTCTTCTTTATATCTTAACTCTCTCTCTCTTCTTCTTTTTTACCTCTATTAATTTTCTCTCTCCTCTGTTTTCTACTCAATTTGAAATTTTCTCTCTCCTCTTTTTTTCCCTTTTTTTTTAAAAAAAAAAAGTTAATTTCCTTTTGTACCTCACTTTCTTTCAATCTTTATACTTCTTTGTCCTTCTAATTTTGATATTCTCCAATTCATCACCATTGTAGCATTCTCTATTGTCGTCATCATCATCTTCGTCACGATTGTGAAATTTGAGGTAATTTTGAGGTTTTTTTTAAAAAAAAATTTAATTATAAGTATGTGAATGTTGTAAAATTGTTGATTTTTGTCAATTTTGCATTTGTGATTCCCAATCTATTTCTTCCTCTGTATTTTTTTTAGTTGACACCTTTCTATTATCACCCTTTCCAACGCATGTTTTTAACGATTAATATCTCTAATTATCAACATTGTAAAATCATAAAAAAAAATATGGATATTAATAAAATATACATTGAAACGATTCAAACAAGATCTCACATGAATATGTTTTATCGTATCTATAAACCACAAAAGCGAGTCAAAGTGTGTTGTGTGAATAGTGTAAAAGTCAAACGGTGTCAACTAAAAACGGAGAAAATATGTTATAGATCAATAATTATTGTCTTTATGATGAACTATGATTAGATTTAAGGTGAATATTCAAAATATTAGAGTTATACAATCAAATTTGTGTTTGGTAAATAAAAAAATATGAACATACGGTATTTTAAAATTGAAAATTTTGTGCAAAATGAACATTTAGTACACTAAAAATGAACATTTTAATATAAAAAATGAGCAAATTTAACAATATATTTTATCTTTATTTTTTGTTAATTATTATATACAATGATTTTAAACCCATATTATGAATATATAAAATCATGTTCATTTATAATATACTAATATTCATAATTTTTTATGAAATGATCATTTTATTAGGTATGATTTAGCTATTCTTCTATGATTATTTTTTTGTATTAAATGTTCATTTTACATAATGTATGCATATATTTTTATGAAATGATCATTTTATTAGGTATGATTTAGCTATTCTTCTATGATTGTATGATATATATATATATATATATATATATATATATATTCATTTTTACTATACTAAATGTTCATATTTTTTTATATGTTTATTTTTTATTAATAAATATTCATTTTCACGTGTTCATTCTTTTATTACTAAATGATCATTTTATTATTACGTGTTCAATTTTATTTATTTATTATTTTTTTTAACTAAATGTTCATTTTTAAGGTCATGTCCCATCAATTTTATGAATATATGATAATCATGTTCACTTTTAATATAGTAAATAATCTTTTATTTTTTGTAACATATTCACTTTTTAATACTAAATGTTCATTTTATTTTACGCGTTCAGTTTTTTGATTACTGAATGTTCATTATTTTTACGTGTTCATTTTTTTTACTAAATGTTCATATTATATGTCGTGTTGCAGCTATCCGTGCAGCTAAGACTTATTGTTGGTAGGGTTGTAATGAAGGTCGGACATATCAAGTTCTTGTTGATATTGTACTGTCTAGCTAGGTTATATATATATCAGGTTTCATTTGGATTCATATTAGGTTGAGTTTTATAAACTCAACTAGTTTTCTGCCCCGTGCGATGCCCGGGTTGTCTATCGAAATTTTTTTTATCTAAAATATATACTACCTTTGTTCCTGAAAGTTTGACTCACTTACTATTCATCTGGTCAATAAAAAAAATAAAAAAAAACTTTGACCACATATTATGATTTATACAATAGAAATAAATTAGTATAAGAGATCATATTAGATTCCCTTTATTATAAAACTAGTTTGGTGCCCCGTGTGATGCCTAGGTCAAAACTTCAAGTGTTGTTGTCTCGTATTTTGGCTAAACTTATAATTTATTTTGTACCCGATAAATATTAATATTTTATCGGAAATAAAACTCTAAACCAACAAATTTATCCTATAAATCTATCTATATTTTATTGAAAATAAAAACTCTAAACTAATTTTTTTTATCCTACAAAATCTATCTAATTTTTTATCCTAATAAATAAAAAAATATTTTTGCAAAAATCTTATTTGTCATACTAACATTTAATTGTTTGCCAACATGGCGCGACACTTGGCGAAAGTTGAAACGTCAAGTGTCGTTGTCTCGTGACCTACCTCGTGCGATGTCCGGGGTTAAAACGTCAAGTGTTGTAGTCTCGTGTTCTGGCTAAACTTATAATTTTTTTTGCACCTGATAAGGGCCTGTTCACTTCAGCTTAATTTCAGTTCAGTTCAGCTCCAATCAGTTCAGTTCAGCTCCAATCAGTTCAGTTCAGCTCTAATCAGTTCAGTTCAGTTTAGCTTCTAATTTTCTTCTCTCATAAAATATTCATTTCAGCTCAGTTCAATTCAGTTCAGCTTCAATCAGTTCAGTACAGTTCAATTCAGCTCCAATCTGTTTAGTTCAGTTCAGCTCAGTTCAGTAAATGTGAACAAGCCCTAAATATTAGTATTTTATCGGAAACTCTAAACCAACAATTTTATCCTATAAATCTATCCAAATTTTATTAGAAAGAAAACTCTAAATTAATATTTTTATCCTATAAAATCTGTCCAATTTTTTTATCATAATAGATAAAAAAATATATTTACAAAAATCTTATGTGGCATACTATCCTTTAATTGTTGCCTACGTGGCACGATACTTGGCGAAAAGTTAAAACGCCAAGTGTCGTTGTCTCGCAATCTGGCTATAAGTTTAGCTTTTTTTTATTTTTTTATTTTATGAAAGAAAGAATGAACTTATATTAAGAAGATCAAGTAACATCCATCTCAGCAAGGGTGCGGATGCCTTGCGAGTAGGGCTCAAAAGATACAAGCTCCACCACATTGTGGGGGCACGATCTAGCTACATAATGCGCCATTGTGTTCCATACCCTCTTAACATGACTAATGTGAAAGAAATTAAAGAAGAAATAGAACTACATACTCTATCAATGAACAAGCACATATGGCTTAATCCTTCATACTTCCCTGTAAGTTTAGCTTTATATATTAGTTATATAATTTTCAAATATCAACTTTTTAGGCCAACGATTATATTATTTTTTATATATAATCACAGGTCTCTTTGATTTTTTTTTTCCTTTTGTACGTCTTTCACTAGTAGAAAAAATTAAAAAGGCACCCCCTAATAGCCACCGGTTCAGTCCAAACCGGTGGCAAAAATGGGCAAAAAAATGTGCGGCTTAATGAACCAGGACATATGGCACCGGTTCACTTCAAACCGGTGGCAAAAACATAAAGGCCACCGGTTTGAACCGGTGCCTTTATGAACCAGTGCCTTTAAGTATTAAAAAAAACCCGACCCTTTTTAACCCCCCAACCCTAAAATCTCTCTCTCCTCCTCTTTCTCCCAGCCGTTTGTATTCATCATTTGTATAGAAATATTAGTATTTTATTGAAAATAAAATTCAAAACCAAAAGTTTTATTGAAAACAAAACTCTAAAATAATTTTTTATCCTTCTAAATCTATCCAAAATTTATTGAAAATAAAACTTTGAAATAACTTTTTTATCATACGGAATCTAT